CAGACTGCCCAGGGAGGTGGTTGAGTCACTGTTCCGGGAGGCATTTAGAAGACGTGTAGACATGGTGTTTACGGACATGGTTTAGCGGTGGACTTGGCAGTGTTAGGTTAACGATTGGACTTGATGATCTTAAAGGTCCTTTCCAACCTAACCAATTCTATGATTCTATTCTATGATTCTAGCTATGCGTATTTGAGACAGCCAGGGTGGCTTCTAGGCATGACACCAGTTCACCACGTGTTGCTGCAAAGTCCTTGGGGTTGGGAGAAGATATGCCAGGGTTGTGGGGAGAAGTGTCGCTTCAGTCTGTAAAGAAAAGCTAAGCAGATCTGGCAGCAGAGTGGTGTAGTTACCCTGGACTCTGCTGTACCCTGGTCTGGCACACAGAGTCAGCAGCCCCTTCTGTCAGACTGACTGTACTGGTTGTGAGAGAGCCCTGGAGCATGTAGGCTCGGACTGCAGCTCTCGGGTGATCTGGGCTGCACTGGGACTGGATCAGTTCTGGAGCTGTATGTGCAGCAGGCAGATCAGGGAGGGGAAGTCATTAGGTTGGATACTTTCCCAGACCCAAGCAGTGGCCTCTCTCCGAGCATCACTCACCTTGGAGAACAGCCTGAGAGATGTCTTCTTATGGGGAGGGTGGGTGGGTCGGTGACCTGCTGTGTTGAACACTGTTGGCTCTTCTCTCCCTTGCTTAGGTGATCATATTTCTGAAGAAGAATGTTATCCTGACTGGAGGGTTTGCTGGAGGATTTCTGCTTGGAATGGTGTCCTAGAAACTGCACTTGACTCTCCCTTCATGCCCAGCCTCCCCTGTCCTCTGCTGCTGTTCTCTCTCATTTAGAAGTCAAAGGATGTCACTGACAGGCTCAGTCACTCACAGGTTCTAGACCTTATTTCTTAGAACACTGCTCCTGATTTCCAACTTTTTCTTCTGTCTGGGCTGTTAGGGTGCTACGGTTGGCCTGAAAACTTAGGACTCCCTGTGTATCATTGTGATTCCTTTCCCCACCAAATATGTCCAGTCCCAAATTTTCTGATGAGTGGCAGCCTCATAAAAATGTAGTGAGAGAGAAATCTCTTAAATACGCTTCTTCCCAGGTGCTCAGGGCTGTACATTTGTCTGCCAGCATACATGTACAACACCTGTCAGCTGTTCACTGCTATTTAGCTTGCACTTTTTCTGCCCCGATACCTGGAAAGCCTGTGCTTCCCTCTGCACGGAGATGGTGTGTGCAATCCAAAATGTGCTTGGCTGTCCTGGGGTAGATGCAGAAGTGTCAGGGGACAGCCTGGGCTGTGTCCAGGGCAGGTGGATAAGGAGCAGGTTCATGCTATATGTGGTGCTGGGGGTTCTCCTGCCTTCCCCCTGCCATTACACTGCACATAGATGGCGTTTGGCTTCTCTCCTGCTGTTATTTATACCCCTTACTGGAATTGCAATGCTGGCACTGCTGATGGAAACTGAGCGCCGTGGGTGACTCTCCAGGCCCTTTCCTCATCAGGTGTTCTGCAAGTCACCAAGCTTCCCGCACTGTAGAGCGCCTTGCTTGCTTGCTAGCTGACTGCTCAGCCTTTGAAATGTGCTGAGGAGCTCTCTTGTGGTGGGCAGGCTCCCAGCATGCTTGACCTGTTTGTGTCAGGCTAGCTGGTGCAGGCAGTGTGTGTTTCAGCTGTACCACTTACTGTAAATCACCTTAGGCCTCAGACTGGTGTTTCTAGGTCTACCATGACCTTCTCTGGCCACTTTGGCGTTGGTGATGCTCTTAGAGCTGTAACCATGTGGGACAGGATTGTAGACAGGCAATGCATCCCTGTTCAGGGTACACTGTACTGGTCCAGGGTCCCTGTTGCCAGCCCTACTAGAGTGGTGGTGGGGAAGGATGTGCAATGTGGAGCACAGTCCTTTACCTGCCTCTGCAGAGAACAAACTCTTATCTCCCTGGTCTCTGCAAGCAACTGAAATGACAAAACTGTTGGGAAAAACAGGTTGTGCTCTTGTGGGAGTGGCTCATTTCCATACTTTCTGCCTTGGTTATGTTCCTTCCTTCTCTGCATTTACCATTTCCACAGAAAAAGCTGCTTCCTTAATTCCATCAGCTGCAGCCCTTCTCCTCTAGGTGATGAGGCAGCCCAGATACAGAGCTCAGCTGTTTATGGACAGTCTGTTCCAGTGCAGCTGTGTGCAGAGCAGAACTCTAACCTATGAGAAAAAAATGACAAAAAAAAAAAAATCATCCCTTAGAAGGTTCTGCATTAGCTGTGCTGGGCTGGTATTACCGCTTTCCGGAGTGCAGGGACTTGCATGGCAGTGTGGTGATGTCCTCCAGCAGATACATGTAGGAGTTATTGCCAAGAATGTTTTTGTTATTTGAAAGTCAGCCCATCCTTCAATGGGAAACACACTAGGGAACAATGATGTGCACGGGTGATTGGGACATAGCACCTGGCTCAGTGGTTGCATCCCATCTCCAGTGCTGTGTAATGCCTTTCTGATGATCCTCTGCTACCCTCAGTATGGCTAGAAATGGGGATGTTCCCCCAGGAGCCGCTGGAAGAGCCGGAACAGTGGGTTCTTCCACCAGAGATTTTGGGATGAGCACTTGCAGTTGTTAATTTTGTTTCAGCTATGTTGATTGAAGTGTCAGTGTAGCAACACATTGATTTAGCATTGATTTCACACCTTCAGGATCTGAAAAGAGGCTGCAGGTAATCAGGAAACAGAAGTTGATTATCTTTGCTCCTGTCCTGCCATACCTGACCAAGAAGAATGAAGGAGTAGCTGGGCTCATGTCCTGTTAATTATGGTCTTCCTAAAAGCCATCCAGGACTGCAGGAGTGATGTCATGCAGCAAATAGGTCTTAGTGTAAATTGGTGTTTGGGAGTGGCGTGACAGATGACGGTGGTCGTTTTGTTGTATTCCTTTTTTTGTAGGAACCCTGCAGGGCTGAATGTGCATGAATTGATACATTTGTATTGCAGGGTATCTCTTGTTCCTGTAGGAAAACAGTGTTGCTGCCCTTCTGCCTGGTGTGCTGTATAACACAACTTCTGAGATGCACTAATCTCCACAAAGATTTCTCCAACGACAAAGCTCAAATCATTAACAGACCTTAGAGATGTTTTTCAGGCTCAAATAAGGCAGTATTTCTGCCCAGCCCCTGGGAAGGGTGTACTGAGTTCTGCTCCACAGGGTCTTGACTTGCTGCTACGGAGAGAAATGGCCCAGAGAGGGAACTAAAAAGCCTCAGTTGCTGCTGGAAGGGGAAACAAGTGACAGCTGCTGGAAGGGGAAACAAATGACAAATTCATGTTCAGTTTGATGTGAATGCAGGCAGGGAATGGATATCAGGATCTGGCAAATCTTTCTTCTGTGCCAGTGCTGGGCTAGTGGCTGGCACCGTTTGATGCTGTGGGCCCACACTGGAAGCTTTCATGCTGAATCAACCTTTGTGGGGATGCATTTTCATTGCCGCAGGTGCCAAGATGAGGTGTTCCCCCTCCTCTCCACCCCTGCTCCTTTTGGTCTTGTTTCAACAACTTCTGGCATCTGTTCCAGAATGAGAAGGTTTAAAACACACTAGGCTTTTAAAGTGTTTTTATATATTGTACGTAAATGCTTGTTGAAGTGATATTTTATTAAACAGTTTTGCTCTAATAGCTTCTGTCTCTGAGGTCTGTTGACTTCTTGGGAACCGGCATGGTTTTGTCTTACCCTGTGTGTTGCGTTTGACTCACGGAGCAGTTACAGCCAGTCTGGTAGCATGAGGCCACCAGCCTTCCCTCTTCTCTGCAGGAAATCATGGGCTGCCTTGATAAATCCCTCTCCTTGATGATCCTGGCACCAATCACCCATGTTCCCAATAGGTGGGATGCTTCTGGGGCAGGAGGTGATTCTGCTGCCAGCCTGGCTTCAGAGCCTCCCTGCTGAGCAAGTTTACTCCACCTGAGTAGAAATGGGCATGGCGATGAGGCTTTTCTTTTTAATAGGCACAACAGAATCTTAAATATTTATTTTCTATCATCTGTTAGTGACTTTCTTTCCACTGCTCCCCCTCAGATAGGGCAAAAGGGAAAAATGAGTTACTTGTCAAGCGTTTGAGCTGCTTCACAACATTGTCATTGCTTTTCCCTACTTTTCAATACTAAATCCCCTGTTTTGTTTCAAGGGTTTTTTTGGGGGTGAGGGGGCTGGGAGGGGAAGCTAGCCCTGAATTATTCTGATCTTGAGCCCCAGTTACAAAAATATCAAGCAGCTTCTATTTAAACATGATGGTATCACATGCAGCTCTGGACTTGTGAATGGCAGCCAAGCTGCTCAGCTTGCAGCTATGTTGTATTCTCAGTAAACAACCAAACGGAGACTACAGTTTGTTCCAGTCATTTATTTTGTATCATGGTATTTCAGAGCAGTGAATACAGATGGTTTGCTTTTCTAGGCTTCAATACACTCGACTATTGTGCCTAGACTACAGTGGTCTGTTTATAGAAGCTGTATTTCATAAGTAAGTTGTACTTGATCACAGCACAAAAGTCCTTTACGGCTAGATCTAATGACAGAGATAGGGGCCTGGTGGGTTCAAAGTCTGATGTTTCGGTGCCTAGGCCCTGTAATGGACTTGGCACCCACTGAGGTGCCTGGACTCCTGCTACAGGGGACAGAGAGACTTGCGCAGCTCTGAAGGGTGATGCAGGAACCTGTCTACCGAGCTCTTCCTACAGGTCACAGGAAATTCTGCTGCACGGGTGAGAGCTTCTGAAAAGCCATCTCTCCCTGGGGTCCAGACACAGCCGGCTTGTGAGTGAGTCTGGAATGCTGTGTTGAAAGCAAGTGCTTACAACTGCTTGTTCAATAAGCAGCTCCTAAATCAGTTCTTGGATCTAGCCCAGGGCTTTGTGACAGGCCCCTGGGTACCAGCGGGTTGAACTATGCTGGGTTCGTAACATATTGCTTAAAGGTGTTCAATTATACATAAATTTTATATCAACAGTCAGATCTTTCAAATTAATATTGCTTTTTTTAAAAAAAATCCTATTCCTGTAGCAATCCCTGAAATAATGTTCCTGTAATGTCTTTGTCATGCAAATAGCAGCGTGTAGGCAATTCAAATATAAAGTAACCAAAAGTCTGTCCAGTGGGAAAGTGAGGCACTTAGGCAAAGTGACTGGTAGTCACTCGTGATCTATGCAAGACCTAGGAACAATCCCCAGACCTAATTCCCATTCTTGAGCTTGAACCACTGGACAGGCAAATGTTGTCTGGAACTACTGCATGATGGCAGCAATACCTTTGCTGTGTCAAGATGGGCTTGTTTCATGTGTCATGCTTTAACTCACTCACTCTTCAGAGCTCGTTTCCTGTACCTCTTGCTCCAGAAGCCAGAGTAACTTGGTTCCAGTTCTCCATTTTGAGAGCAAGGATGGATTAGAGTAAGGTAAGCATTCTAAAAACATCAAGTTGACTTTTCACAGACACAGGTGCAATGCAAAGACAAAGTTGATGATGTTTTGGTACAGAAAATAAAGTCTGTTAACCAGGCCATCTGTTGGTACTGTGTTATACTTTTTGGTGTGCCGGATGGTGTGTTCTAGGAGCGATCTGGCTTTCCTGAAAGTCTAAAGAAGGCTTGAAAAAACACACACAAGCTCTGCAGGTGAGTCCGTGCTCCGGCACCTGCTGGAGCTGCATTGTGTTACTGAGGTGGTGGAGGAATTCCTTCTGAAGTCGCCTTAAACTTTTCTCTCTCCCTTTCTTCTTTCTCAAACCCTGAACAACAGACGGATCTGCCCTTGGGGTACCGGGCACAGCACTTCCGCATTTCGTGAAGCACAGTTTCACACTTAGACTCCATGTAGTTGTTCACTGGAAAATAAGAAGGAGACACTAAGTCTGCAGAGTGGAACAGGTTTTGTCCCCGAAGGGGACGTCTAGCCCAGCCCTTCAGCTGCTGGGCAGCGTGCTTCTCTGAAAAGCAAGAGCTGCTTACAAGCATTTCATCACTTTCTCGGCTGTACAAAAATCCCTCTTTAGTTTCAGCTATCTAAAGCCATGCAAAAGCAGCCTTGCTCTTGTGGTTGGGAGGAGCTTCAGTCCCCCAGTTTAGTAGCTATCGCATCTCACGACAGTAAGAATGAGGTTTCTGTTATTGCTGCCCTTCAATTCTTACTTTTTTTTTAGCCTGTGTGCTTTTAAGCTGGATCCTGTCATCCATGGTCTTCAACCCAGCCGCCATGTCACTATAAGGTTTACAGCTCAGTGTAAATACAAGAGCACCTAAATAGGACTTGGTCTAAGCAGGGATGTGTGCACCTTTCAGCATTTGTAAAAGGAAGGAGTGGGGAGCATGACTGCCAACCTCCTACCAGCGGCCTGTTGTGAGCAGGCTGTAGCTTTGCAGCGTAACTGAAGCAGGCAGCACACTAGCAAGAATGCTTAGCCAGACACCAGCAGCTGAATCCAACTGCACAGAGCCAGTGACACGACCATCTTCCACGCAAAAGTCCCAGCTCTAGCTCAGGAGGTCCCTAGGCACACAACTGTTACTTGACCTCCTCTCAATTTCCTTCCTAGGCGTCTCCTCTTGGATACTGCCAGAGGTGTGACACAGGCTAAAAGACCTCCTAGTCTGACCTGGGATAACTGGGCTCACATCTTTGTGCATGGCACAGCTATGCCCACCTCTGTACATTCCCCATATTGCCTTTGTTTCAGGCTTGAAGAGATTTCACTGCAGGTTCAGGCACTGCAGAACACAAGTGATTTGTTCAGCATCATTTCTGCCCAAGTGCTTTGCTAGCTGCCGCTGTCAGCTGAGGTGGCAAAGCCCACAGTGCTTTGCAGGGCTGGCCACCAGGCTCTCGGAGAGAAGCCCTGCAGGTATGTGAGCAGACTGAGTTTGTGGCTTGAATTAATAACTATGTGCCTGTCTGCATAGAAGCGCAGGGCGTGCAGAGCTACCTGCTCTGCCTTGGATGAACTATGCAACCACTACGCAGCTGCACTCACCACCGCCCCCCCGGCACTGATTTTTATAAGACTAAAGGAAGAAACAGCAACCCAATGGGAGACAAACGCAGCACCCACTGGAGAGCCCAGAAGGCATCAGTGAAGGCCTTCCAGTTAAAGAGCAAGCCAGCCCGCTCTGATCACTGGGCTATGAATTCCCTAAATGGGTTGGTGATTGACCTGTAACACAAGCACAGAGATCATCCCTGAGAAAAAGGTTATGGTGATGTTACCGCTTTGTGCAAGCTGGCAGCCTAGGAGGCATGGCAGGCCCTGGGGAGGAGAGCTAATCCCTCTCTGCCATAACCTGCGGATGATGAGTGCTCCAAGGCTCTCCTGACTGTACCTCTGCCTGTGCAGGTTTGTTTCTAAAACTACAGCTACACACAGGCACACCCTGCTATCTGTCAGGGATGCATTGCTGAAAAGCACAACGGTTAGTCATACAATGGATAGCAAAACACAAAAGAGATTTACAGTGGGCATTCAGTCTCACAGAGGAAGCAGGCAAGATCTTCTGGAACAATGACCCACTCCAAAACTAGCTTTTGAAAAGCCAGCGTCTCCCAAAGGTCCTGTTTCTGCCCTCCATCCTCTGCACTGTGTACACTGTCTCTGCATATTAATTAAGGCTCTGTATACATCTTTTATCGCATTAATTCTTACAGGGAAAAATTGCTTTGCTGCCTGTCAACTCAGCTGCTTCATCTGTGCAACTCAGACAGCTCCACAGCACTGTACTACATGAACAACAACAGCACTCCGAAATGATAGCTAGAGAAGTGGTGGACAGTGGAGTATGCATGTAGCACAGTCAAAGAGCTTCTTTGCTAACACTTAACCATTCAGATCAAATCTGTACACAAACCTACACAGGTAAAACACTTGGAATAACCTCCATGAATGTTACAAAAAGAACATTGTCACAGATGGGACCAAAACAGGGTCAAACAGCTTTTAAGTGCAGTTACCATGGGGAGAGAAGGCAGCCCATCATGGGAGAATGCGCCAAACCATGAAGACAGGAAAAGGTAGTATCTAGACAAATGTCGGGGACATGTAGAGGGGGTTGTTTAAGTCCTTGCTTTGAGCTGAACACAGCTTCCAAAAAACAATCCTGGGAAACACAGACATCTACCAATAACTGACTATTGCTTTTCCCTACTTTTTCCAGATGCTTTTCCTCCTATGCTCCTCCGCAGCCACCAGGATTTTTGTGTTATCTGCACAGATTGCAACCACTATGCTTGCTGCAGCCTGCAAAGCCATCCCTCTACTTCCTCAGCAGGACCCCCTACTCCCTCCCTGCTATATTTTAGCTAACCTGCTTGTAGGCTGCAAATAAACTGAAGGCAGAAATGAGTTGCTGTGGAACTGGCCTCGCTAACCTTAGCTTATGTTGTTGCTGTTCTCTCGCCTCGTTGTCCGTGGGCTAACACTATGAGTTATTCTCCCTTGAAGCTCAAAGCATGCTGGCTAAGGGCTCCACCAGGTGAGTTAGGAAGAGCTCTTTCCCATATGGCTGAGCTGCCTTGGCACAGAGGAATGTTTTCTCTTATTCATTCCGTAAGATAAATCCTTTTCTAAGAAGCAACCAATGTTTTTTAAAAATATTGTCCTCTGCAAGTTACAAGCCTGCTCTCCCCAACTCAGGCTCCCAAAATACATTATCACATAATCCCCTTCATCTCTACAAATATTTAGCTAAGCTAATAAAAACCAGCTGTTAAAGGTCTCCAGAGGGAGACCATCTCATACCTTGAGGCCAGATCACATATACCTAACCCACTTCTGACAGACATCTGTCTGACCGGCTCTTAAAATACCCCTGGAGCTAGAATCTCTGCAGTCTTCTCATACAATCCACCCACTACCCACTCTGTAAGAGAGCTTGTTATAATGTCTAGCTCTCCCCGCCTACAGCCGAGTCCCAAGACTACACTTGGGATCTCACCACCAGCATGGAGAACACGCTGAAATAAGCACAACATTACTGTTACAAATGAACATTACTGTTACAAATGCTCCGTTTTGTACTAATGGTGTCTTGTTATTTACAATCAAGCACAAGGGAATTCTATTGAAACCAGGCATTATAATTTTGTTTGCTTTGCAACCAGGTGATGCTAACATGCTTACTTTCTTCCTTCTCAAGGTGAAAGGAGAATAGAGTTAAGTTAAAAGAATTAAGTTCCACCAAAATCAAGACACCAAAAAGACAAAATGACACTTGGTACCTTGCAAGCATTTCTGTATTTCACAGGCTTGTTTCTGGCAGGGATCCTTCTGGGACATGTTCAGGGAACTAAAATGATAGGAAAATGTTACTGTAGAAACAACATGCTTTTCAGGGGGCAGGGGGGCAAGACACTGTCTTAAAGCCAAGGCTTTCAAGAGCTCCCAATCTCCCTCTCTGTCACAGACAGTTCAGAAAACATCTATTGCTGCTTGCAGATGCCTGCCAACATACACAAGAATTCTCGGTGTCTGGCTAAAGGATGATAATGTGGACAATGAATACGGGAAGTTTTATGTTGCTAGGCCTGAAGGCCTTTGTCTTTCCTCTGGCCAAAATGTGTCCTTTTCCACTTGGATGCACAAAGATTCCAGCAAAGATTCAAATTAACATGGCTGACTAATTTTTAACAGTTCTGTGCCTCTAGACCTTACACTAAAACAGGTATTTGTGTAAAAGCCCTCTCTGTGAGCTCTACATAGCCAAAGATTTGGTGTTACTTATGTAACTGCAGCTGGAGGAGGCATTTAAAAAAACAACCAAACAAAACAACTTAGTTGTGTGTGTCCCATGAAGACAACACGAAGGACTCTTTTTTTTTGCTCCAGGAGAAAGTCTCTTGGAAATCCTCTCCCCCAAAACCAGACTGGAGCACAGCTCCATCTTGTTCAAATCCCTACAAAGCAGGATTTCATACACTCAATTTGACTTTCTGCAGCTGTCACACCTGTAACTGTGATCTTCCACGAGAGATCAAAAGATGAGCAAAAACTGGTGTTACTAGTAGTTGGATGGGAGACCTCTACAGGAAAGCACCACCATTACCGAAAGCAGTGGTGGGACTTCAGCTCCTTCTGAGCCACAGTTCAGCTCCTGCCCCTGCTCAGAGCTAGGGAGGTGCTGTCTTTCAAACTTCTGATAATTCACCAGCCCACAGCACTTTTCAATATCACTAGGGCATTATTTCCAGCATCCTGGCCAAAGTCCGCTTGGGGCAATTACATTCTGCCTACCTAGAACTCCCTCTGATGTTTCACTTGGACACAACACTCCTCTTCACTGCCTGTCCTAAACTCGTGTGATGCTGCTGTGTGTTGTTTAACTGCTTCCACCTTAGAGGTGGCTGCATTTCAGTGGAGAGAGAATCATTTATTGTACAAAATATACAACGACATCTTCCTAGAGCCACTGCTCCTGAAAGACAAAAATTCATATTAAAGAATGACTGGGAATAAACAGAGCACAGTATAAAGCAGGGGTAATGTCTACACATACCAGATTAATCACCAGGCACGAGTTTAAGCAGCAGTTCTTCAACACCACCAAGCTGTAAGCGACAAGGAAAAGTTCAATACGTCTACAGTTACTGTGGCTGAGCTAATGGACTTTAACAAAATAACAGTCCTTTGCCGTCCCTCAAGGATCTCAAATGACTTCACAAACAGGCATGACTATGGTCTATTGTTGCCACCATCCTTACCATGAGATGGTGCTCTATCTCCCAAACGCGAGAGTTACTATCCCTGTACTGCTCACCCTGGGACAGCTGCCACATATGAGGCAGCCGGGATGGGGGGAGCTGGCTGGGTCGCAGCGCCTCACCCAGGGGAACCTGAACTCTTTGGATCCGAGCCCTCAGCATACCTTCCTCCTGGGGGAAAGTAACAAAAAGAGCAGGCAGTTACTGGCAATGCAGTAGAGGCACCTGCAATAGCAAAGCTACAATCACTGGGAAGCTCAAAGGACACTTGCCTCTTCCGCAGCCACAAGCCACGTTTTGCGGTGCTCATCGCAGTAAACACCTATGCGTCGCACCCACAGTCGGACAGGAGGAGCGCCAGCATGCCCTCCTTCTGCCATTCCCTCTGTCACTTCAGGATGCTCCCGTTAGGTGGACGGCATCAACCCGCAGGATGCACACATGGTCTCTTTAGCTCTGAACACATTCACAGAGAAAGCTCAGACCTGAAAGGCACCTCTGGGTGACGTCTGACTTATTGTATGAGATACTATGTGCTGAAATGTCCCTAAAAGTCAGCTTGGGAAACTAAGGTGGTGCCTAAGTGAACAGAAAATTCATGACAAGTTGTACACTGGGACATGCGTGCTATATGGCATTTGTAAGGCATTCTGGGGCAAAAGGTGCTATCGGTACAAAGCTAAACCCTGTGAATATTGGCTTTGCTTATTCCACTAACAGTCCTATTAACAGTCTTTGTGTAAAATAGGGGGAAAAAAAGAAAAAGAAAACAGTGGTTTACACAGGAGTTCCGTGGCTAATGATGGTCTAAATCCGAAAAGCAAAACTTGTGACAAGATGTGAAATTTGCTTAACAAGAACGAAGATCACTCTGGAGGCAAACCATGAAACTCCGTATGCATGACTCTCATATTTGGAACTTGCAGAGCTGTCATTGTGAAGGGTCCTTCGTCTCATCTCTCAAGAGGATGGCAGCATTGTCCATTCATATACAAGCTTCTCGTGAACAGCTCTCGTGACTTTGCGTAGTTCGGCTTTTAGATGGTTACAGAGAGCCACCGATACCAGCAGGGGCAAAGGAATTTTGGCCATTGAGGTGGTTCTTCCTACTGGAATTTTTGTTTAACAGCAAGTTTATCTGTATACCAGTTAGATCAAGCTGAGCCATTAGCAAATGAAGGTCAGGGGAAATGGTTCTCTCTTTGAACCCTAGAAGAGGTAATCAAAATGGTACAGACAGTCTTCACTCTTTATCTAGGTTTAAAGTAGAACAGAATTAAGCTGTAATACATATAACATCCTCCTGCTATGAAGCAGATGCAATATTCCTATCCCAGTGAAACACAGTGGTCTTCTGAAAACTTGTAAAGTTATAAGGCATATTTCAGACAGGAGCAAGAAAATCTGGATAC